TAAATATATATATATATATATTTAAAGGTGCTCTTAGTTCACTATAGTCCTTAGGGAAATGAGAAGGGTTTCCTTTTATTATGCATATTTTAATTATTAAGCCAATAAATAAATGAATGGTAAATTACACAAATAGTTCCTGACTATAGGGTGTTCTTTGTTAAGTCCCTCGACTATTAAAAGCTACAAATTAGTGTTCCAATTAAAAGACGTTTCTTTGTTGAGTCCATTGACTATAAAAAGTTACAAAATGATTACTCGATAATTCATATGTTTCAAACTCATCTTTTTTCGTTAAAAATTTAATGACATACTGAGTTGGATGTTAATCTGTTGATCGAGGTATGATAGTCGTTTTAGATTTTGTGATTAGATTTTATCATATCACAGTCAACATGTTAACGTCTAACTCAGACTGACGTCAAATTTTAATAGAAAAGGACGAGTTTGGAACATATGAATAGTCGGGTGACCATTTTGTAACTGTCAATAGTCGGGGACTCAACAAAGCAATTTCCTATAGTCAAGGGATCATTTTGTAACTTTTAATATTCGATGGATTCAATAAAGTAACACTCTATAGTCAGGGACCATTTGTGTACTTTACCCTTAAATGAGTAATTATGGAACTAATTAAGTTCAGATAGAATTTAAGAAAGTGGAAGCAAGAAATTATATATTAAATTATTTTTGTATAATATCAAAATTAATCCTAACGTTTGAGTGAATAGTCATTTTAATCTATATTATTTTTTTTAGTATTTTAGTCCTAACATTTCAATTTTTGATCAAAATGAACTCTTTTGGATGAAAACTATTAGTTGATTAGCAATCGATATTTCTTACTGACTAGACAAATCCACATGAGATGGAATGGTGACACAACTTTTTTACAAGTGATTAATTGATGGTGTGTCATGTTATATTAGCAATTTTTATTAAATTAATTATAAATAATTTCTTTTTATTAAATTAATCACGAACAATCGGGTAATGACATTAAAATTAAAAAAATTTGCCTCTTATAAGACTCAAACTCAAACAAGTCACTTAGGGAGACTACCCACTTAACCACTTAGCCTTGAATGCAAAAACTGAGGAGCAGAGATGGTATGACCGACTGTGATGGGGTGCTAAGGGTAAGCAGAGCAACAAGCGTTGGAAGGCTTCAAGAAAAAGGGATAAGAAAGATCAATGATAACAAGGTTTGTTTTAGGGCAACAATTGAGAGTGTTGACCCTACTAATAATAGTGTGCAGATATCGACGACAACTGTCACACTTTCGAACTTTCAAAGAAGAGAATTTTCACTGAAGTTTCAAAAGTAACGAATTGATCATTAATATGAATGTATATAACCATGAAATTCTACAATCCTAGAGAGTTGTGAGATGATATAGTGGTTGATCCTCAATTGGATCGCATTTTTTTCTTCTTCTCGGAGCACTACATGTATAGAGCATGGAGATTGAAGATGGAAGAATAAAGAGAGGATGAGTTTTGAGGAGCTAAAAGAAGTGTGGAGAAGGAAAAGTGAAGAGAAAGACAGATCATAATGACAATTTATGTGGTAAAAAACGCATCACATCAACTTTCTATCACTCACGTTAATCGTTGTTAATGTATAGTGACTGATTATAAATCTATAATGTTAGTGACCAATTCGTTAGATTTAAAAACTTAATGGAGAAAATAAAAACATACTCAAAGTTATTGACTATTTATGTAATTTAACCTTTAAATGTGTCTTGTCCGATTGATTATGAATAATTTTAGAAAAGTAATTACTTATAATTAATTTAATAAAAAGATTTGGACACGTATAACTAATTGTGAATAATTTTTAAAAAAATAATTATTTGTAATTAATTTAATAAAATTTATGACATAACATGTTATATCATCAATTAATCATACGTGATAATGTCATGTCAATATTTCATCTCATGTTGATTTGTATAATCAGCATAAAATATGAACTATTGTCAACTAACGAATATTATTATCATATACCAAATATTTTACTTAGTAAATAGAAATTTTCTACAACCTCGTCGAATGCGGAGAGTACTGCTAACGATAAGTATCATTAAATTAATTTATAAAACTTTAAATTATAAAGTACTAAACGTATAATTATAAATTAGTTGAAAATCTAAATATAATTTAATTAAAATATAATATTTATTAAACATTAGTTTTTATAATATTATTTTAATTATAATTAGATCAAATATTAATTTGAGAAATTTATAAACCTTAATTTATTTTCATAGTTTTGAAGCTCCCGACGTCATCATCGTCGTTGTCGTCGCTGCCGCCACCGTCGTCGTCGTCACCACTATCACCAGTATAAGTTTTCACCGATGATTTAGTCTTTGTCGTTCGACAATGGTGAAAGATGATATCAGTAAGACGATGATAGCGACAACGGTGATGGAGGTGAAAGCTTCAAAACTAAGAAAATAAATTAGGGTTTACAAATTTTCAAATTAATATTTGTGTCGACACTAGTTTTTCTCCGTTTATATTATTATATGTATTATTAATTATACATTATTACTTATATATTTTTTTATTATATACATTATTATTATATATATTATAATATTAGTATTATTAAATAATATTACATATGACCCGGAGGCCCAATTACAAATATGAAGGTCCAGTTACACAAGTAGATCCATGCCCAGATTGATCCAAACCCGGTGCAAGCCCAACAGATCCGAAATACCCAAGACCCATCTAGGGTTTTCCATGCTTCTCCATCAGCCGCTAACAACCATCACCGTTGGATCTGAAGAGATCCAACGGTCCACAACTCATCTAGACGAAACCCTAGGGCTATGATTTCAGCCGCCACCTCCAACGTCTCCAACACAATGCTGCCACGGCTCCATTGACTCCAACAGAAGAATCTAGAAGATGCACACCAGCCGTACACGTTGCAACCCAAAGACGGTCACTACCATAGGCCGATGACTCATCGCGATTCTCCTCTTTAACCAGTCCGAAGGGTGGTTCGACGAGGGCTATAAATAGCCTCGATCCTGCAAGCAGTAAGGAGAGAGATTTTTTTTAAATCTACGAGATTATAAAGTTTTTTAAAGGAAACCAACACCGAATTTGGTTTTAGGGTGCTCGAATCTACATTTTAGGGTAGTTTGGTATTTTTCGGCCACCGTGAGTGGTGGTCGCCACCGACGGAATATGGTGGTTATCGGCGGCCGGCTGGTGACCGACCTCCCTCTAATGAGGGGTTTAAAGAGAAGAGAGAGATTCTCTCTCCTTAGAGATAGAAGTAAAAGAGGAAAATATGAGAGATTGTCCTTAAAGGACCAGTTTTGGACTATATAAACTCTCTCCCGAACGACGTTGTTTTGACAGGATATCTTTGTAATTTTAAGCATGGGTCAACTACACGCGTAATCCCTTTGGTTCTATAAGCTTTACGATTTGGTCTCGAAATCAGGTTTTGCATGTTTTAATTTGGTTTTTATATTTTATATATTTATATTTTAGTCATTATTATATTAATACATATATTTTAGGTAAAATTATGTATTTAGTCCTTTATATTTTTATAAGTTTATATTTATATCCCATATTTGTTATTTAGGGTAAATTTTTAATATCATTTTGAATTAGGTTAATTAATTTTACTATTTTATGTTTTGATCACTATTTATTATTATAAGACTAATTATAATAGTAATATATTTTTTATATATTAGGATAATATATAATCTGATTTATATATTTATAATATTAAATATTATAATAGGACTAGTGATATTTATTTTAAATATTATTTAGTAATTATTTATTTATTATTTGTAAATTTAAGTTTGTAAAAACAAATTTATAATTTATTGCAAAGACACTAATTAATAAATATCGGTATTAATTTTGAGTGTTATGGGGTGCTAATCCTTCCCCATATGTAAACGACTCCTGAACTCATTTTTCTGGGAAGCAGACCCGAGTTGTATTATTTTAATATTATTCTTAGGAATTTTATTAGAATAATATGATATTTTGGTGACCAATCTCACCAAATTAAAAGATTGGTGGCGACTCTACAATTTGGTGTTTTATCTGATTCAAGGAAGATAAACACTTACTTTTTTTAGACTAGTTACACCGTTTGGGGTGTACTATTTGCACTCTCCATCGTCGGGCAGAGAAACGTATCGATAATTTGATCTAATTATAATTAAAATAAAATTATAAAAACTAATATTTTATAAATATTATATTTTAATTAAAATATACGTTTAGTATCTTATAATTTAACGTTTTATAAATTATTTTTAACAATATTCATCATTAACGGTGCTTATATATATTTATCGAACGTGACGACATTATCTTAGAAAATAATATAAAATGACAACAACAAAAAAACAATGTAAGAATATAATTACTGTTAGTTAACGACGATGAAAGAGTAATGTACTAAAATTAGTGCTAAAATTGGGAGATTTTCAGACACTTAGAATGGCGATCGAATCATCACAACTCTTTCTAATCCCTTTCCAACTGTTTGGTTTGCTAGAAATTTTAGGAGCCAAATCCGTAAATCTAAGAAATTTGGTTTTTGTTCCAACCAAACCAGAAAATTCCCAGAAACAAAGAACCAACAAAAATTCCATTCATTTTACCAAACTTCTTCAATCCAACAACCCCCATTTCTCTGTAAATTTGTTTCTTTTTTTTCTTTTTCAAAATCTGAAAAACACCCATTTCTTAAAATTAAAAAAATCGACACAAAAAGCTCAGAACTTTCAAAAAGAAATAATAATAATAATAATACAGAAGATTGAGAGGTTTTTTTTTTTTTTTGTGTTGGTTTTGTTTATGTAGACGATTACATTTCCCTCCAAGTTCTCCATCTTCAATGTGAGGTTCCAGAGATGCTTTCCTTTTTCTTTGTTTTGTTGGTCTTCCTCAAAACTCCACATTGAGAAGAAATACGGATAGATACATTTTTTTTTTATCTTTGGGTTATCGTTTGAAAGAAAAAGGAATGCAGAGTTTTAAGGAAGATATAGCCTTTGTTTGTTTACACATAGAATGAGCAAAAAGCTTGGCTTTAGAAAGGCTCTGGAAACTAAACTAAAGAAATCACAAGTAGCTGCAAAGAAGAAAGCAATAAGCATATTTACAGCAATGTCTGTTGCTCATGTCGATGAGGAAGAGGCTGGTTCTGGTGAAGTTCGCCATGTTGAACAAGTACTTCCAAAGGGTGACTTTTATATAGGGGAATGGTGCGATGGTTTGCCTCATGGGAATGGAAAATATTTATGGACTGATGGATGCATGTATGTTGGTGAATGGTTTAAGGGGAGGATCATGGGGAAAGGGAAGTTCTGTTGGCCTTCAGGTGCTACCTATGAAGGTGAATTCAAGAGTGGTTTTATGGACGGTCAAGGAACTTTTACAGGTTTTTCAGGAGACTCGTATAAAGGTTCTTGGGTTATTAACCTTAAACATGGACAAGGGATTAAGAATTACTACAATGGGGATTACTACGAAGGCGAATGGCGAAGTGGACACCAGGAAGGACAAGGGAAATACCAATGGCAAAATGGGAACCGTTATGATGGTGAATGGAGGAATGGGTTAATGAATGGGAATGGAATAATGGTGTGGAGTAATGGGAATAGTTATGAGGGTTCTTGGGAGGATGGTTTTCCTAAAGGAAATGGGACTTTCATTTTTCCAGATGGGAGTTTTTATGTTGGCATTTGGAGTAAGGATGGTAAGGAAATGAATGGAAGTTACAATCCTTCTGATTCTTCAACGGAGAATCCGGATTGGGATCCTCGAGTGGTATTTTTGGAGTATTTGAAAGAATGTAAGATATGTCCGGGTGAGAGGATGTCGATTTTGCCATCAAAAAAGATGCCACATTGGCCTGGAATGAGAAAAAGTACTGATGGGAGGCAAAGGAGAATGTCAGATGGGAAGTTAAATTGTAGGAGTTGGAGTTCTGATATGCATGATGTTTCAGCTACTAGTGAAGGGGATTCCAAGGATGGTGATGATGGAATTGAAAGTCTTTGTCTTGAAGATTCAATTTCAAGAGGGAGTTGCATACAGTTTAAGATGTCGGCGACGAGGCAGGGGCAAACGATATGGAAAGGTCACAAGAATTATGAGTTAATGCTCAATTTGCAACTTGGTATCAGGTAATGTACTTTCCTCTGGTATTGAAATTTGAATGTTGTTCGAATGTTGGTTTTTCTCGGTAGATGCATTGCCTTAATGTTAACATCATTTGTTTTTGGCTTGTGCATTGCCATTTAGACTATGCATCTCAAGTTCAAGAATGTATGAAAGAAATCGAAGATTTATTTTTATATTTGTTGTATCAATCTGATGTAGTCTTTATTCCCATATTTACTGTTGTCATTTCGTTTGCTTTAGAGGGTCGTTACTTGCAGTTCAGTTTGAATTGAAGATTTCTCGATCTCCAACTCGTTTCAATATTGAGATATATTGGTTTATGTTGTTTTCATGCATGTATTGATTCTCTGGTTACATCGTAGACACTCAGTTGGAAGACCAGGTCCAGCTATATCCCTTGATCTGAAGTCTTCGGCTTTCGATCCTAAGGAAAAAGTATGGACCAAATTTCCACCCGAAGGATCCAAGCACACTCCGCCTCATCAATCTAGCGAATTCAAGTGGAAGGATTATTGTCCACTTGTGTTCAGGTTAGACTGGATCATCTACTTGTGCACAACAGACAATCCTTCTTTGCTGAACAATTCAGTCTTATGGTACAACTACTTTAGGCACTAATGAAAGTAATTTTTAAGCAATCATTACATGATAATGAAACTAGAACTATATCATATGAATTTGGAACCATATTATGTGGTTACAAGTAGTTCCTAACATGTAATTTTTTTACATTTTCAGAACCCTTAGGAAATTGTTCGATGTGGATGCAGCTGATTACATGATTTCAATATGCGGGAATGATGCCCTCCGAGAACTATCATCCCCCGGAAAAAGTGGAAGTTTCTTTTACTTGACCAATGATGACAAATACATGATAAAGACAATAAAGAAGGCGGAAGTAAAAGTAAGAGTCAATTGTTCTTCCTGTTGCGTTTTTGCTGTTGAATCCAGAAATTATAATACAACTTTGTATTCAGCTGCAATTTGTCGTAGATTTTGTATTAGAAACAAAACTTTTATTCGTCATAAGGGTCATCATAAATCTTTTGAAACTTTTTCTGTATGACAATAATTGGTCTCTCACTATTCATTACATCATCAAATTTCAAGTTTCCAGACAATGTTCATATTTACTTATAAAGTGTAGAAACTGTTTTTAATGGCTGAATAATCTCAAACTACATTCCTTGCTTTACCCGGCTTTAAATGTTTACGAGTCCTAGTGACAAAACTTTTCAGGTGCTCCTAAGGATGCTTCCGGCCTACTATAATCATGTTCGGTCCTTTGAGAACACTCTAATCACCAAATTTTATGGTCTTCATTGCGTGAAATTAACCGGGACAGCTCAGAAGAAGGTAATGCCAATGTTACAAAACTTTAACTTGAACGGCATATAGCTTCAGAAACCATTCTCATCCGTTGTTCACTTGGGATCAATGAGACAGGTACGGTTTGTTATAATGGGGAATCTGTTATGTACTCAGTACACCATTCATAGGCGCTTTGACTTGAAAGGTTCATCCCACGGTCGCACAACTTCTAAACCTGAATCAGAAATTGATCCGTCGACAACCCTCAAAGACCTTGATCTCAATTATTTATTTCGGTTGGAGAAATTCTGGTTTGAAGAGTTCTGCAGGTGATTGTCTTTTCTAAATCCTATTTCTTTAGAAGGTATCATCATTTCTTTTAACCTATGTTACTTGGACTCGGGTGTGACTGTTGGATATGGGTCTGTGTACGAGTTTTATCGAAAGTTATTGTAAAGCTGCAATTGGCAAGACCAAACTGTTGTAGGATATTGCAGAGCGTTTGGGGTAGCATGGACTCTTCTACTTTTCTTTTCCGAATCAAGTTTCCCTTAATGCAGGCAAGTTGATAAAGATTGTGAATTGCTCGAACAAGAGAGAATTATGGACTACAGTCTTCTGATCGGTTTTCACTTTCGAGAAGTTCCCACACCTCTTACTTCTGGAGCAGTTACTCCTACTGGTTATTTCTAATGATCTCTGGTATTATAATGTTTTGTGACTTTCATACCAATTGCTGTTTAACTGATTAGGATATGTTTCCGGTTCTACTTGCAGGAAATGGAGACCATGAAAGTGAAGAAGCTCCTCGACTATCTCAAACCGGAAAGGATCAGGCCGACAATGAACCCTCAGGGTAAGATGAATGATTTTGTTTCTGAAGACTCAGTTATGTTTTCCAGTGTATTCCAATCTTTGGAATCGTGTCTAAGAAGGCATGACTTCTGTCTCCCCACTTCTATTACAACAGTGGAATTTATATTATTTTCAACTCTTCATTTTTCTTGGTATTTGTGTCCAACAAATTTCCAGACGGTTGCAAATTGACGGTTGATCTTTCAAATTGACAATGCAGGACATCTATTCGATTAGGTATAAACATGCCTGCACGGGTCGAAAAGACGGTGAGAAAAAACGATGAAACTCAGCTTGTTGGGGAACCAACTGGTGTATGCTATGATGTTATCCTCTTTTTTGGTATAATCGACATCCTACAAGACTATGATATTACCAAGAAGCTTGAGCATGCATATAAATCAATGCAATACGATCCAACTTCAATTTCAGCTGTCGATCCAAAGCAATACTCAAAACGCTTTCGGGATTTCATCTTCAAAGTTTTCGTAGAGGACACTTGAAAAGATACGTTTGACACAGATCTTCAACTTGGAACCAGTGTCCATTCATGTACATTTGATTGTTTTCCGGAGATGCGAGTGCTTAAAAGCCAAAAGGTAATCGTTTCTCGATCATGTGAACGACCATGGAGGATGATCTACGACCACACAGGACACGGCTTCATAACTCGGGATTAGGTTATCGTCCTCTCTTCATCTCCCTTATTTTACAGTTGCAGATAATATATATATATGTTATAGTGAAAGGTTTAGGTTAATATTAAAAATCAGAGTCACTAAAGCTTGATTCAAGGTGTAAATGAATTGAAATGGTGAAAACATAGACATCGGGGTCGAATTCTTTCCTTGAACTGAAAATCATTTCCTTCAGAGGCTGAAGAATCTCTGGGTTCAGCTTCAAATAATAATGCGCAGTAAGAGATATATTGAAGATGAAAATGTTGTGCTTCTCTTCTGTCATATTTTTCTGGTCTGATCATATGTTACAACTGTGTTCTCTTTTCATTCATTCTGGGTTTCAAGACACCAACCAACATAACCCGAACTTGAACATATTGAGTCACCTCGATGGTAAAAGAAAATGTCATTGTTTCTAAAAGATCATGATTCGAGCAGCTGCATATGGAGGATATGTGTGCGTTGTCAATAGGTTAAAAATATTGTTAGGTTAATCACACTTTAAAAGATGATAATGTCTCAACATCATTCTAAATTTATCATCGACATATACGGCCAAAAAGATCACCTTATCATCATTTATATGTTTATAAACAGAAAATTCATCAACGTTCTGTTCAAAATCGTAAGTTTTGATGGTTTGATCAAATATTTGGTTTCATGAGCGGAATACTTAATTACAAGTATAATGGAACACACTAACCCGACTTAGTTCTAAACTGGCTTAAAGATGTCACATTGATTGATCAAAGAAAACCTTTAATGGCTATAAAATCCTCAATTTTCTAAAACAACAAACAAGAAAATACAATCTTAAACACTATCAACAAACATCAATGCAAGTTTAAAAACTTCAAATGATTTACCATACTAACTAATTTACTTTTAACATTCATCATTCACAAACCACTAGTTTAACCTATAATGATTACCTATTGGAACTCTCATTCAACACATACAACACACTATTTTACAAGCATCAACAATCATACACCCTTTGAATATGCACGTACTAACTATCTAGTCATAGTAATTACTCGAATTAACTTTTGACACTCTCAACTGATGCTCCCTCGAACCACATTGAAAGTATCCTATAGTCAACATTTTACACTCCATATAAGGTCTACAATCGTAGTTCTTACTGTCGAGATGTTTCTCTGTCCTGTCGAGACGTTTCTCTGTACTGGCGACAGAGAGTGCAAATAGTACACCCCGAATGGTGTAACTAGTCTCGAAAAAGTAAGTGCTTATCCTCCATGAATCAGATAAAACACCAAATTGTATAGTCACCACCAATATTTTATATGGTGAGATTGGTCACCAAAATGTCATATTATTTTAATAAAAATTCCTAAGAATAATATTAAAATAATACAACTCGGGTTTGCTTACTAGAAAAATGAATTCGGGAGTCGGTTACGTATGGGGAATGATTAGCACCCTCATAACGCCCAAAATTGATACCAATATTCATTAATTAAATGTCTTCGCAGTAATTGATAAACTTGTATTCTTAAAATAATTATTTACAAATAATTAAATATAAATACTAAATAATATTTAATGTAAATATTACTAACCCTATAAAGTTATATTATAATTATATAAATTAAATTATAAGTTATGTGTAATAATAATACTAAAGTATAAATTGTAATAATAATTAATTATATACATACTAATAATTAAAGATTAACACATAAAATAATCAAATTAAATATCCTAATTCATAATAATATTACAATATTGTGATAATTATATAATTTAACCTAATTATTAATACAGAATTAAAATATAAACTTATTGATATTTAGGGACTAAATGCATAATTTAACCTACTATATATAAATATACGAATATGGACTAAAATAAAATAAAATTAAATACCCGAATTAAAATGCTTAAGAACTTGTTTCGTGACTGAATTGTGAGATTACAAAGCCAAAAGAACCACGGGTGTAATTTACCTATTTCTTAATTACCCAGAAGCCCCTCCCCAAAATGACATAGTTTTGGGGAGGGTATAAATTCACCCTAACCGGCCCTAAAGGGCCAAAATCTCTTATTTCTCTCTTTTTCTCTCTCTCTCAAATTGAGAGAATTCATTCTCTCTACCTTCTCTCTACATCCTTCATCGGAGGGGAGGTCGGTCACCAGCCGGCCACAATGAGCCATCGTCCGTCGCCGCCGCCGGCCACCACTCACGGTAGCCGGAATTTTACAAATTCTCCCATAATGTAGATCTTAGTACCCCTACCCGAATTCAAGCCTCTCATTTACTAAAAGTTAGTAAATCAACATAGATCTACAATTTTACCTTTGACTTTTCAACTTTCCAGTGACGTTGAGGACTCCTCGGTAAGTTATTCTTTCTCTTCTTTTCAGTTTGTTGCTAGCTATTGGTTGCTCGTACCTCGTTTTGGCTTGCTGTTATTGCTTCGTATGGCTTTTTTTCTCTGTTGTTTGTTGTTCTTGCTCCCTTTATGTGTGTCTTGTTTCCTTGCATGGTCGAGGCTATTTATAGGCCTCGGGAAATCGACCGTAATGATGAGATTTTGGTGAGTCATCGGACCTATGGTGGTGACTCACCATAGGCCGATGTGCTGTGCGGTTCTCTTTCACCCTCTGGATCCTTCCATTGAAGGCAATGGCGCCGTGGCAGCAGATGATTAGAGGCGTTAGAGGCGGTGGCCGAAATCATAGCCCTAGGGTTATGATACCCTAGGGTTTCTTCTAGATGAATTGTGGACCGTTGGATCTCTCTAGATATAACGGTGATGGTTGCTGGTGGTTACTGGAGAAGATGGGGTAAACCCTAGCTGCTGATGACCTCCTCGGGTTGATCTGGTTCTGGGCCTCTCGGGTCGAATCAATCTGGTTGGATTTCTCGGGTTTGGTTGTATTCCTGGGTCTGGATCTGCTTGGATGTATTGGGTTTTCACACTTGTAATTGGGCCTCCGGGTCATATGTAATATTATTTAATAATACTAATATTATTAATATAATATATATAATAATAACGTATATAATAAAAACATATATAATTAATAATTAATAATATATAATAATATAAACAGACAAAAACTAGTGTCGACAGCTGCCCCTCTTTGTTTATTTTTATGTAAACAGGAATAAAGGAAAGATAAAAAAACAATAAGTTTTTGCCCAGTTGACTTCAAATTTAGATAAAGAATCCGTTCCACTACTCTTCCGTGGAGACTGAAATTAAAGAGTGTAAACATCCTGCCCAAATGTCTGACGGATGGCCCTAAGGACTTATCATCTTGCTCGAAAGACTGACAGATGACCCGAAGGATTTAAACATCATGCTCGAAAGACTTACAGATGACCCGAAGGATTTACAAATTTGTGATAAATAATTTACTGAGTAAGAGACTTCTTACTTTTAAAAAATTTGATTTTCTAGAACAATAAATGAGAAACTTTGAAAATTGCTATCTCATTTTCATGCGAAAATCATATGTAAACATCCTACCCAAAGGTTTAACGGATGGCCCTAAGGATTTATCATATGGCTCGAAAGACTGATAGATGACCCGAAGGTTTTAAGCATCATGCTCAAAAGACTTACAGATGACCCGAAGGATTTACAAATTTGTGGTAAATAATTTACTAGGTAAGAAACTTCTTACTTTTCAAAAATTTCATTTTCTAAAAAGAATAAATGAGAAACTTTGAAAATCGTTTTCCCATTTTTAGAAACAACTTGTTGGTTGGGCATGCCCCAAAATTAATGCTTCTTCTATGGACTGCATCCATCTATTCTTCAAATGTTTGCTTTTCCAAACATGCTTTCTTCATTTGGGATTTGGATTCTATCTTCCATTTGTAAGGTATCTTGTCCTTCATTTTCTTGTGAAAAATGTATTTATGCAAATACAATCAAATGTATTAATGAAATGCATGATGAATGCAAATGATGCTCCTAGGAATGCATTAATGTATCAATTTTCATCTGAATTCAAAGTTTGATCTTCTTCTTTTTCAAGACTATTTTCAAATAGTATAGTAACTTATGCTATCAAGTTTGTATTTCTGAATAACCATCTGATCAACTTGTATCTTTGTGCCTTCTTTACATTAAAGTCTCAGAAGAACTGTTTTATGAGACTTTTGCCATACTTAGAATTATGACCTTGTTGCCCCACTTTTCTTGATAACACCAACTGTCTTTATCTGAACTTGTGTAGAAATCTGATAAAGCTTTCTATATTTGAAAAGAGAATATATCATCTTTGAAAAGAGAATCTATCATCCTGACAGAAAATAATATATATGAATATGCTAAACCCAACAGAGATCAAGAGATATCAACCACGTCTCTTTTGATTTGACTCTTGAAATACATCACAAGAAGGATTTATCTTAATTCCTTTCATGTCTCCACATCTAATCAAATCTCTTCACAAGAAGGAGTTTATCCTAATTCCTTTCATGTCTCCACATCTAATCATATCTCAAATAAGGTTCTTCAAACCATATCATGTTAAAATGCTTAACAACAGACCATCTTTCAATCTTAATTGGCTTCACTAGTTTCTTGTTGTTAAAGTTCCAACGTTTCTTTATGGAAAGAGATCTTCATTATATCTCATTTCTAATCTTGGAGTTTGAAGACAAACTTTATCTTATGTCAACCACATGATCGTGAAATTGGTTTAGTACCATAATTACTGGTTCGTAAAACATTTGACAACACATTCATCATTTCCTGTGGTTTCTGCCTAGATTTCTCAACCAGAGAGCTCTTTTCATTCATTCTTTCTTGTGGCTTATGCGAGGATAATGTGATCACATGATGAAAAAAATAGTGATATCTGCTGTCATTGTTTCACCATTTTCATTCTTTATACCTTTCTGTTTCATGGGAATGATTTTTCCTAGAATGATAAGGGTCTAGCATGTCCTAGCATTTTGCTAATACAAATACTACTGATGTGATTTTTCAGAATACTTGTTTGGATTATTTTTTGTCTCAAATGGACCTTCAGCATGCCCCACATAAATTGTTTCTGACTGAAATGGGCCTTCAGCATTCTAAGTTGTAAGGTTCACTCTTAATGTCCATTTGATCTGAATCTTGTGATTCCCTTGTGATCCAAATTTCTCATCGTGGGTACTCATGGCTCTCTTAATGCCAAATTTGTTAATCTTGAATGCTCTCATTCCAGTGT